ATATATATATATATATATATATATATCATTATCCATTTTGTATTCTGAGTGTAGGTTTAGAACATCCAGGGTGTTTTAGCATCAAGCTTCTCATAGTTTACATTCCACGCAACTAATATGCGCGTTCAGAAGATCTCTAAGTGGACTTGTGTATGCCCACACACCCGGGAACCTACCACAAAAACAGAAGAAAACTAATGAAATTTCGTGTGAAAAAATCGTCAGTTCTACGGACACAAAATCAATCGTCAAGTGTCTCACAGTGGTTACCATGGTACGAACACGTGCGAAATTTATGCCACTCCCAAAACCGTTCCCTTCACCTCACTGCTCATCCCGTCTGTGGCTGCTGGTTCACCTTACGCTCCTCTGCCTGAGTAACTTATTCGACAGTGTTTCACTCAGTATCTACGTTTCTTAGATATTCGTTCACGGTGTCAGTTTCGTCGCGTGGCCGAATTCTCCTCCTATCGTTTCAGTGTATTTCCTGAGTTTTCGGATCTTTCCGTACGCTAACGACAACACCCGTCTGACTAACAGGAATAAAGTATTTGAATTAGCCCCATTTGTTTTTGTTTGTATACGAACAAACGGTTATCTGAAAACGCTGACAAATGTGTGGTATTTCGCAAAACACTAAGGATCACTATTGTTGTTGAGCTCATTTCATTTGAACACTGAACTACGCTGTCTCAGGGCTCTTAAAGGCTGCTCATATAGCCATTCGCTAGTCTGCTCCCCTAAGTTCTAGGCTTCTTTAAGATCTCGAGCCAAACGCAGTTTCTCTAAATTACCTGACGGTTGTCGCAGTAGCAGAATTTTGGCCTTCCTTGTTTTCGTGCTCTATTGTCCAACTGACTGGATGATTTGTTCCAGAATTCGGTTATCTCTTTGTGTATTTCAGTGGTTCCCTGAAGGTATCCTTTCGGAAAATTACCTTACCTGGAGTTTCCGCTTTGTGCCGGCTCATCAACCCTGCTACTCCTTTAAAGACCACTAGTTTTCAATAATCGCTAATCGTCAGCACTCTTCGGTATTGATATCTGTATAGGTATAAAAGGCAGAATGTTAGAACATAAAGTTTAGCCCCAATGCTGTCGAGCATTATTGACCAATGACCTTCACACCTGAACTTGGCGTTCTAAAGGGTTGTCTCATGACCTGTGTGTATTGTGATGATTCAGGGTATGTGGCTTGGAATCCGTGCTCATCGACGGCACATCGTTCTCGTCAATTCTAGGCGCACCTCATAGTATTGTCAGTTGACTCAGTAGTATCTCAACTTCGTGGCTGTTAATTCAGCCGTAGTGTTCTAGGCTGCTCGTTGATTACGTAATGAAAGATGAAATATCCTTATTTTTCAAAGGCAAAATACCGGCCATGCACTTCAGTCAAGAAACCTCCCGGAGCGTTGCTGCCAGTGTAACACTGCTTACGACAACAAGTGAACTGCATGCATTATTGTCGATATACCACAGAATTTTTCTTCTATTCCTCCCCGGTCATAAATGCGTCCATCATGTGCATCTTAGACCGATGATATCTCTATCAGACCACTAATCACGCAACGCTTGACTGCCGGACTCAAAATGGTGAGCTTTGGCTGTTTCCACCGTGGTCAATGCCTTCTATCAGCTGTAGCACCCTTTCGGTGCCTAGTTGCCATGCTACCCGAAGAAAACACAAGGGCTGGGATACTGCCATGTTGCCCAAGCCTAGCCAGGGGAAGTCGAGAGGCAGAGGTCGGGTTCGAACCACGTCCCTTCCGGTCAGTAAATTCGCGCTCTTAACCACTTGGGCCATCTTCCCTCCAGAGCACATCTCTAGATGCATCGGCTGCAATTAGATAAAATGTCACCCTTTCTGAAACGTAACAAACGGTCAGGTGGACGTGCAAAGGTGACCACTGTTTTACTTTCTGGTGTGACGAACGAAACACTAACCATTTCGGGGCAGTTGAAATCTTTTCTCGAACACCGATCTTCCGTCGAAGAAGAGCTGAATAACCAGATAAATATTGAACCCTTTCGAAAGCCCTATAAAAAATTACACGAAAGTGCCAATGTAGCAACAATCCCTCCTAATCTCCTGCGGTTTTGGATTTTGAATGCGTGGACCATTATTGTGTACACGATTTTGAGGTAAAAGTCAATTCTATTCCTATTGGATTATGTTCGTCTGATTGCTGGCGCTGATCGGTCCGCCAACTTATTTTCTCAAGGAATTCATGTGGGACATTATGTCGTTCATGAGCTTGCTTACTTGATGAATAGACCCATGAACGACGGAACTATATAACAAGTAACAAAGGACTGGCTCCACGACCACGAAGGAAGTGCACAGTACACGTTTCTACTTGGTACCTTTCGAAAACAGAATGGGCAGTTCGGTCTCAGTTGATATCCAATGTCTATGCCACTGCGAGGATTTACTCTTTAGGCGAACTTAAATCAAGAGAATGATAATGGATTTCCCTAGAATAAACCTATTTGTCTTAAGAGTCATTCAACAATTGTTAATTCCCAAGTGGATCATTTTGACCAGAATCTAGGGGCGATCTGTTTCAGGTAGGGGGAGTAACTGTACGTTACTTTTATTTTTTGCCTTTGATTCCTATTCTCATTAGAAATCGGTAACAGTGGGGAAAGTTCACACCCCCACGCGTTTAGTGCCTATAGGTGATCGTGTGTCTCACTTTGTGCTTTCTTGATGACTGTGTGATTCGTCGAGCCGGTTGGTGATTATCCACCGCTTCATGCAAGTTTCCTCAGAGTAACCCGCTTCTTTCGTCAAAAACGTTTTCCGCAGATTTTTGTAGGCAGCTTTGTGGGCACTTTTACGATTGACATCGTAGAACCTTTGACGTACACTATACTCTGTGCGGACCTCCGGTATGTGTGCTCCCAATATCCTGTTTCACACCCCACTGAAAATTGATTGATGGGTTGAAGCGAGACTGCTTTTCCACCGCATAGTAGACAGCCGGATGAGTGAGTCACTACTTTCCCAATGCTAGTCTCACTTGTGATGTTTTTGGAGCTTAAGTAACTGAGGACAACAAACGAACATCAGCCGAGTTTTTCATGCTATATGCTCCGATAGATATTTGGATTTCTGCATCCTAGTCAGATGACCACAAACGACGATGACTTGTGGTGATCTCACCATCAGTATTGTTGACTGGGGTGGTTCATCACCGTCCACTCTCCTCATACTTTCTGCTCTGGTGTGTTGAAGTGTCAAATTTTCGACGAATTCCTCGCTTAACTGGTAGAGCCTCTTTTGAGTGGCAGTTGGACGATGAATCACACTTAATTCACTGTTTTGCTGCACGTCTAATTGATCTCTCAGCAACAATAACAAAAAAACATGCGGTTGCACCAACATTTTGGACTTCCGTGCAGTCCAACTATCCTGATGTTCTTTCCAGAACAGAAGCCGGGCATAACTCAGACATAACTTGCTTAAACCGTGTCATGCTCTGTAACTTTTTCATGCATTCATATGTCGAAGACGTTACACAACACCTGAAGGCAATACTCTGGTTTACGATTGCTGACTTCTGCAGTGGAATCATATGGGTTTTTATGGAGTTCCACCCCTGTACTTTGTGCAGGCTTATTGATGATTACACCATCACTCAACAAAATCTGCCGGTCTAACGTGGTAGTCAGGCCTAAGTGATGCGATGATCCTGCAGGATGCGTTGGTTGCAACCTGGTTCCTCATTGTCAGACCATCCCAGGAAACCTAAAGGGGCCTAGACAAACATCCAACAGTCGTATCCCGTACTGCGACCTTTGTTGGACAACTCTGCCACTCGAGATTGTCTGCTCCCCTTTCTTGATTAAGCGTAGTCCCAGGCGGTGGCTCTTGTATGAAACTTCAGGGAATCACGCATGTGGGCTGGGTACCAGGTACAGACCAGTAAGCTGCGTCCTGGAGGTTCTGCTACTCACCGCGTCTGCACTTGAAACATGTGCGATCTTCAGGTAAACGTATAGTTAGGGTTCATCATACTAATGCATATTAATGCTTCCGTTCACAAATCGCGCCACATTTCTCCTTTGAACTTTCAGGTTGCTCACGTACGCGCTGAGCGCGACATTCTTGTCAAGGCCGATAATCCTTGGGTTGTCAAAATGTTCTACTCCTTCCAGGATTCCGTCAATCTCTACTTGGTCATGGAATTTCTCCCTGGTGGTACGTCTCCCTGCCATCACTTTAGTTGGCCTATCATCTATTTCTTACTGTCTGCTTACCAAGTAGGGTAATAATTCCTCTCGATCTGCCTTTGTTTCCTAGATTGCAGCTTCCACCTTTACAATAGCCTGTGTAATAGTTATCAGTAGTCGTCACACTCCACCTTTCTGAACGTACATCTCAATATTGTGGTGATTGTGTCAACTTAATGATTCGAGCTATTCATATTATTTCTGTGCGCAATCTGCTTGTTGGTCCTTATTTCTTCTAAACCAGGGCGAGTTGTTTGTTGCGGTAACCTATTGACTGTACAATGGACCCTAACTTTGTCCTGTATTTAGGCCGTGAGCTTTGTTAGGTTGGTCACATGTTATATTTTCAACTCTCCTGCCTTTCTGGTCGATTTATTCTGTCACGTGTTGGATTTCCGGTTGACTTATTTTCTCATTTTCACGCCTAGTTAAAAAACCAATCCCCATGGTACACTGTGGTAAAAGCTATCGTTCGGATCGACCAAGATTTACGGGTCTCTTCACCTCTGTCCATGGTGGGTATGGGAAATTTGAACACATTCCCCTTTAGGATATTTTCTTAATACTACAGAGTTCGAAGCGGGACCGGTGCACTGCCTGACTTCAGTAGCTTCTGTCTGGGCCCGATCAACCCAAAGTTTACTCAGCGCTCACACTTACAGTTTGCATATTAACTATCCTGTGCAAAACCAGAGCAGTCGCCTCCATACCCCTCACAGCGCCGGATGAAGCTACCGGCTCAATTTGTGGGAGGCAACCGGACTTCTGTATAAAAATTGACATCACTATTCCTAACCTTTGGTCTATCTACTAGACTTGGTAGTTTCGTCGCGACTGATTCATTCTTAGTGCGCTCTGGGTGTCTATGTGAATTGTGCGCACACAATTCACGTGCTTGTCAAATGTTATTTAGTCTACTGATAGGATATTACCAAAATGATACTTACTCGGACGCTAATTGGATGCACTCTGCAAGCTGTTATTTCGCTTCCTCGTCTTTTTGTTCGTAGTTGAGACTGTGGTTTTCCCTTTGCCTGTGCGTATCCGCTTACCGGATCGCTTGTCACGACACCCCCCGTTGTTCAGTCCACAGGTGTTTTACCGTTACTGCCATATACTGGTCGCTGTGACCTCCATTAGTGAGCCTCACAGCGGTTGCTTCTTGCAATTGTTTTGATTTCCAAGTCAGTTGTGTAGCGTCTTCCTAGATGTTCCTTGGGTTAATTACGTATCGGCGTTGCTGCTTATGTGTCAACTCGGTTTTACTTCTGACTTAGTTTACTCTGCCCGTACTGCTGTTCCCGTTTTGCTTTAAGAGTCTTTCAGACGTTCTGGATAGCTGGACTGTCGCAATATTTAGTATACTAATAGAATTTCCGGCCCTAACCGCTGAGGATGCGGGTGCAGGCCTACATTTTCAAGGCTTTCTTATCTGTTCTCACTCAGTGACGGATCTAAAGTCTCAGTTTTACAGGCGTGCTCTGTAACTTTTATGGCCTTCTGCAACACAGCATCCGGAGGCAATTATTACGGGCTAATGCAACATAAACTTCAGTCGTCAGTCCGAAGAAGAAGATATCCGCTTTGAAACCTGAGAAGGCACCAGGACCAGAGGGTCTGTATCCAGTCTTCTTCAAAGAAGTCAGAGAATCCATGGTGACTCATCTGACAAAACTAACTGGTGCGATATGGAGCGAGGAAAGAGTCCATGCAGAATGGGGCACGTCGACAGTTATTCCTATCTTCGAAAAGGGTACGCGAATGCTGTACGAAAACCACGATGGTATCATTCTGGTAGCTGTGACATCGAAGGTTCTTTCTGGTTTTATCCTCCGAACGCTGACTGAACGCAGGGCAAGACAGATCCATGAAAACCAAGCTGGGTTCCGTCCTGCGGAAGGCTGCTTCGATCACATTTTCACTCTCTGTCAGATTCTGGAACAGCTGCACTGTTTCCAGCTGCCAACACTGGTGGTCTTTCTTGACTTTAAAGCTGCCTCTGACTCTGTAGACCCTAAGGCACTGTGGCAGTTTGTGGAGTACAGGTGCCTTTAAGGCACCGTATGGCAACTCCCGTGAGGTCTACGGGGAGCTCTCAACTGAGTTCACTACACCAGTGCTGTCAGGCAAGGTTATCCACTTCCACCTTTCCTCTTCAACTTCGTCATTGATATGATTACGAGAGACTCATTACCAGCCTTTAATACCTGCGGGATCGAGCATTCGCTCACAGATGTCGAGTAAGTAAACGACAGCTCTTCTAGAATCTGACAGTATGATAGTGCAAACTGTTAAACAATCTAAGTAATTCTGCCTCATGGTTTGACATGTGGTCCACACGTGCCAAGTGCTGTTGTAAGACTGGGTGGATGCAAAAAACCCTTGTGGAATTACGATTGGACTACCCTGTCGGGAGCGACTTTCAGACTGCGAACGATCAGTGTTCTGCATTCAGTAGATCCATTAGTGCTTTCCTAAGCTGCAACGCACCCAAGATGACATCCCGTAACATGTAGGACGAAAAATCGAACTTCGCAGATGTACTGTCCTTCGCTTGGTATCCTCCACCTCATTTGTTTTCACAAGTCCAGGCAGGATTGCTTTCTCCAGATAGTTGTTCTTACTAACCATTTTGTGGTCATGACCCTGGTCTTTATGAAGTACAGTAATTGCTTTTGGATAAAGTAGATTGTCAATGCATGGGATTGTAAGAGACCTATGATATTCTGGCGTTGATTTGTCGTAAAATTCACGTGCCTTCTTTTTTGGCACCAGCTTTCCCAGTGTACGTACTGTCCGATTCCCAATCCAGGACGAGCCGTTCACTGCCTGCTTTGATGTCTACTCAATGAATGAATGTGTTCTTTTGTGTTGTTCTTGATTTCGCACAACCCATCATTTACCTATGTGTCTTTTGTATCTGGTGAAGTGATTTGATGAATTGCCTGAGTGCATTCCTTAGATGTGAGATTTCGAAGTTTCTTTGGATAATTTCAAGGACCTCCCAGGACTGGCGAGCTAAGACATCCGTAAACGTTCTGCAGTTCTTTACTGGCGTGTAGGATTGAGGTGTCTGTTTTGCATGTTGTTTTGTTCGTTTTTCTTCCCGTTGCTCGCTCCGGATAGCTTGCACCATCTACATGGGTCACAGATGCATTCTTTCCAGTTTGGTGCGCTTATGCTCCAGTTGAGGTAGGCCTGTATCACCCACATAAATCAGTTCATATACCCTCGGGCTTGTTCAACATTCTTAGTCTCTTTTCACCGCTTTCATCGAAGTTTTGTCTGTTTTGCTCCTCGTGACTCATACTTGTGTTCGCCGTGAACAAACCCGTGCACATTACTAGTTCTACACTGTGACAATCGTTTGATTCCGGACGGACTTCACTTTACTGTAGATGGGTTGACTCATGATATACTAGAGTGCTATCCCAACCTTGTCGTTTATTTGGTTCTGGTAACCAGATGGCAACAAAACATGGAACCAGCTGCTGTCTCAAGGGGACAGCCGAATCATACGCTAGGATTAGTCTGTTCATCTTTCAATAGGCTTTTTACCCTTGTTAACTGGTCGTTCACACTCATGCACACAAACAGGCGAACCCTCAACTTGGATTGCATCTGTTCGAAGTGTGTTGTGTTTACGACCTGTGTGTTTTGATGTGCTAATTGCTACGCCGCATGTTGTCGAAATTTACGGCCGCGGTTTTTTTCATGGCCCTTAATTTTGTATTGTCTAAGTTGTATTCTGTTTGTCCATTTCCTCTGCATATCTCTTTTCATCCTTAGCTGGTAGTCTGTGTTTTGAGCCGTTGAATTATTGTGAAGTTTGTAAGTGGTTGTTTCGTCTATGATAAGGAACCCAAAACTTCTTACTAGCAGTCATTCCGCAGACGAGAAAACAACCAATTTTCCTCAATGTCACGCACAGGCAAAACACGTGGATCAAGTATACCCATATGTATACTATTCTTGCGCGGTGGAGGCGTGTATTAAATCACACCATAAGTGTCAGAACAATCGACTTTCGAGACAACGTTTTCTGGCCTTTTTGTTGCAGGATCGCATTAAATTATAAACATTCATTCAAATCCTGGAAAATGCTTGTAAAGTCTTTTTTGGACTCACGCTTTATTCATTTCTGTGAGGGGAAGTTTCATTACCAATGTTGTAGGATTTCTGACTGCTGAAAGTGGGTGAACTTTTCTAAAATATTCAACCTTTAAGTACTGTCAGGTTTTCACCTTTTATCACTTGAAGTATTTTTCTTTCCACATCCAACTTATCCATGTCTGGTTGGAAGTGAGTGTGATAAAAGCCCCCTGAATTTTTCCATTTGAAAAACATGGGACTCGTCTCGTACTTTTTGAAAAGCGAAGCAGAAAACATCACTGAAAGCTGTGGCTTTATGAGTAGCATGTTACTGATAGCTTATGCTTTTTAGGAGGAAACAACACAGTGAACATACTTGATTTCGGTGATGTTCCTCAAACCAAATACAAGCAGTAACGGATACATTTTGATTGCCGCCTGGCTAGTGAACACTCGAGCCTTCCTCGCATGCTGTACTTGATCCTAACCATTGCTTCGGGGCCACATATCTACTTTCTAGCTTCGTTGACTGAACTAGATTTCAGTTTCCCCTGGCAACGAGCATATCATCTTTTACGTTGCCTTTTCCTCCTCTCTGTATGCGTTGAGAACTGAGAGGATGGGAAAACGACTATATTTGGCTGGTGGAGACTTGTTCGCTGTCTTTTGTTTTTTCGGAACGAGTTTTCGAGCCGCTGTGATCACTTTAAGTTCTACTTTTTTAAAACTGAATGAGAATTTCGTAGGCGATGGGAAATACTACCTGAAACTGAATCAAAGTATTATTCTTCAGTAAGGTCTGTCCCTCTATTCAGTTTGTAACCGCATTGAATCCCACTCCCAGGCGTTATTGTTCCAAAATCAACATAGGCTGTG